CACACACACACACACACACACACACACACACACACACACACACACACCACTCTAAAGAGACACTCAGAGGGCAGACAGGGAGGGAGAGAGGAGAAAGGAGAGAGATGAAAGCGAGGTCATCATTCAAAGAGATGCACTTCAGAGTGAGAGGGGGTGGACACACACACACACACACACACACACACACACACACACACACGTGTATAGGTGCACACACGCACATTAAAAAAACATGGCGGTGATACGCACACAAACAAGCACACACAGACGTAGATTCTGGTAAGCAAGACTGTTTCTCTGCTCGGGTCAAGAGAGGAAAGGGAGCGATAAGAGATAATATTATAATGTAAGAAACCTGCTTCCGTTTAGCAACTAATAATTCTGTACGGGGTTTCTGATTTATGAGAGTGTGTCGGATGGAGCGGAACGGGCCATTAGAAGACTGGCCGCAGTTACTGACAAGAGTCCAAACATTTAACAACCGCTTTAATGGTTTTACCAGAAACGTTTATCTGTTTGAGAAAAAGATAAGGACCTCCGGTTGGCTTTGAGAGCAGCTGGAAGAGGAGAGACACTCGGTATCAGCATCGGGCTGATATCAGGATGTTTGGCTCGTGTTCATGTCTCCGGTTAGTCGAGTTATTGACATTAATAGTTTACTGAAAATGTCCCCCCCTGTTGCTTTTTAAAGTATAAAGCATTAAAAAACACAATACATTTGTGTATATTATCATGATGTGTAACTACAACTTTATAAATAGGAAATATTTACAACACGCAGCATAGTCACATATTTGTCAATTTAAATAAAGAAATGAAGCAAAACAAAAAGAAGAAAAAATCGAATAAATGCAACTGGAAGACGTCCCCTTGAGCGGGGGGGGGGGGGATTTTGTGCCATCACAAGACTTCACAACTAAAAGATGAATTGATAATGAAAATAAAAAACGCTTTTTAATTGGAGAGCCTCTCAGCGCATTATGAGCAGAGAGTGGGGACAGCTTATACAACAAATGCACAAAAGTTATATAACTAATGAATCATTCCATACTTGCCACCGAGGACCCAAGAAAGCGAAACTGGAATTGTGCCCCCCCCCCCACACACACACACACACACACACACTATAATCGCTGATAGTCTGAATTGACAGTAAAGAAGTGTAGTGAACTCCAGGAGTGGGTTTGAGAAGTTCCTCACGATGTTTAGACACTTTCTTCCCACCATAACATGTACTTGAGAAGGAGCACAAAACCAGACGCCTTCCAAGCCTGCAGAAGAAGAGTGTTTTCTATTCTCATGACAGAAGCACTTTATTTGTCACATTAACTTAATTAGCCTGCTGGCTAACAAGACCAGAAATAGTCTGCTTGTTGAGTTTTTCTTGGCTGCTAACTGAGGTGTAAGGTTTGTTACCGTCAGCTCTACATTTTAACTCAAGTCCTCGTCTTTATCAGAACGACAACAGTAATCTAGCAGGTCAGAGTAACTGAACTACTCACACTTTGACAGCTGGAACTAAATGTTGGTTTGAATTCTAGATTCACATTCAGAGGCACCTCATTCAGAAACACATGTGCATGAGTCCAATAGAGGCGATATCTTCAAAAAGGGAAAATGGGAGTTGGAGGGCGACCGAGTCGAACTCAAATACTCGTCTGCGAGTGATGAGGAGAAGATGCGAACGTGACAATGTGTCTGCAAAACGAGACGATGAAGTACAAACGCAGTCGAGCCGTCGACCTGCATCACCGCAGGCGCACACTGAGCGGAGAAGGTGTCTTAATGAAGTGCTGAGTCATCGTCAGTCAGCAAGTGTCACAGAGAAAACAAGCGCCTGCAGAACATTTTCTGAGCCATTAATTTGTTGCGTTGGACACACCCTGTGGGTTTGAGTCTTGCTGCTCCTCACAAAAAAAACAAACCCAACATGTACTTGGGCTGTATATGCGGCTCCAAAGAATGTGAAGCCATCGGCACCTAATTCATCATCGTTGGTGTGTATGTGTGTGGGGTTGCAGTGGGGACCTTTGGCGACCACAAGGTTATGTAACTGCATCTACGTATACGTTAACTGTTTATATAACTCCTTGCACGCCGCTGATGAACACCGCAACCATGCAACGGCCCTCTGAGTGTGTGTGTGTGTGTGTGTGTGTGTGTGTGTGTGTCAGTGTTTCAAAGAGAAGAGAGAAAGAGAGAGACCACAGAAAAGATTAAAACACTAGAGGAAGAAAAGGAGACAGAAACATTGTACCCCCCTAAAGAGAATGAATGTATACGGTATTTAAAAGCAGCAACAATATACCGCATATGAAAACCTCACCATGTGTTGTCCCATCAACTCCTCTGTGATCAAACTAACGGTACTCTTAGGTGTGAAAACCCTCTAAACCCTCACGGGATAAATTCAGGTTGTGATACAAAGTGTTCACTCAACAGTGTTGGAACCAGCTTGAGACAGCACTGAAGCTGGTTTTCGCTGGACTTCTCAGGAGCAGATGGATGAACGACTACCCTCGAGCTCCAAACACCAGGAAAGATCTCAAATCTGGGAAGTCGTTACACGACATTTCCCTGATCTGCTCCATTAATAATTCTTTGCAGACTGAGACAAAGCCGTCTGTGGTTTCCCCAATGAGATCTGGTTTCTAAGAAAACTCCAAAGCCACTGAATTAAAGATCCACTATTTTTAGGTGTGCGTGTGTGTTCCGTCATTGCTTCCTTAACAAACAAATCCATCTGTTCAGGTCTAAACTCTCCTGCTCTCTGCTCCTCGTCCCTGACCTACATCCTGAAATCAATCCAACAGCAGAAGTGGACAGTCTGTCTGTGTCACGGCCGGCTGTCCTCCAACAGATTATGGATGACGGTGGACGAACGCGGCGGAGAATCCTCCACGTCATACATTTCATACAAGAGGTCAAACTGTTTGGTTATCCAACACAGACAGGGCGGGGCGGGGGGGATTCCAG